GAAAATCCGTTACATAAACCAAAACTTCAACAGAAGTAAGTGAGATTTCATGAACACTTTAGTGCAAACCGTAGTTGACATTGTTACCCCACGCTTACATATTTTAGGTAGTACACCAAAACTGTTAGGTGGTGACTCCAAAGACGAATTCCATTTGGAACTTGGCTTGTGAATTCGATTTGATTATATTTCACTTCTTCCTCGAAGAAAGATGATCCAACAATTTCCAATTGGTCTTTGCTGATCGGATTATCGTAATATAGAAAACGAAACTCCAAATATTTGATATATTTGTTCTAACGGTGCAGGATCACACTGTGATCACTGTGGTCGTCCTGCATCACAACTAATTGAAAGGATATCTATTTTAATAGAAAGACCAAAAATTTATAAAGACATTATGGCATATCAGTCGAGGTGAAGTCGGGATGCTATAGAGGTCTATATTGAAATAAGTTACGATTTTTTTATTATTATTTATTTTTACTTATATATTTTTTATTCACAACAAGGAAACACAAAAAATAAATAAATAGCTAAGAGACAAATTATCTACTTGGTTTGTAACTTTGAAAACAGGTCTCAACTACTCATAAAACTGTTTCTAGATAATTATAGAATACTTTCCCTGAAAATATTCATTTTTATAATTGAGTTTTAGAAGATAGTTTTCATATAATTTTCAGATTGTTAATTTTAAAAAATAAAAAATAAATTTTTTTTTCGGAATTACAAACCAAATAGATCCTCAGGATGTCGCATTGATGCAATTGAGATTATTGGTAGGATGAAATATTGTTATTTCAAACCCTCTCTTGAGACACCAAAAATATTGAATATTTCTCGATATTTATGATATTCATTACTAAATTCTTTCCCCAAGTTCATCGTAAGAATTTCACACTTTTGTGGTACGAATTTCACCACTAGTTGAAGTATAACCTTGCTTGTAATTTGGATTTCTATCACCATAAATGAGAATTTACTACGAATTTCACCACTAGCCAGCTGAAGTATAACTTTGCTTGTAATTTGGATTTCTATCACTATAAATGAGAATTTTACTATGAATTTCACTGCTAAAAATGGTTGAAATTTAACTAACCATTAGAGTGGTGGATTTTCAAATTCAAATTACAAACAATAATGTTATGAATTTATTAAGTGGCGCTTAACGTTTCTAAAGATACTCAAATTGGGTTTGGCGAGCACGAATGGGTCGTGCTTGACAAGGAGAGTGAGGAAGATTCTCATGGTGCGAGAAAGGTTCCTCAGTTGCTAGCTCAACTGTATTGAGCAAAACTGATAAAGGAACCTAGTTGTCAAAACAAGTATATTGATGAATGGTGCAACAATGTCAAAGAATGGATTAATGACACATTAACACCATTATCTGAAATTGGTAGAGGCATAACTGGACCATTGGAAGGATGAAATTGAGCATCTCCGTATGGAAGAACATTTTCATAAAAAAAAACATCTCTAGAGGTATCAAATTGTTGTCTTTGTGGGGAGAGGTTATGACCAAAACAGAGACAACTTAATACTCGAAGACGAGAGTATAAAGGAGGTGCTCCAAGTAACACCTCATATGGAGTTTTTCCAGAAGAAAGTCAGATTGGACCTTAAAGATAGATACAAGGGCAACTCTAGTTCAATTGTAAGGGGATGAATCTTTGCCTGTCAAAGACATCTAATTTGGTCAAGCTTTGGGCCTGTTTGATATTGCTCAACATTAAACACAGAAGAGGTAAGCAAAATTTTAAAATTAGCGTGTTTAATAGCATTTAGGTTATTACTTAAAATGTTATGCAGTAGCTTAAAACAAGCTAAAATTTTAAGTCAAGGAGCTTACTTAACACTTATTGCAGAAGAGATTTTAGGTTTAAAAATATTTTGTTAATGATAATGTTACCCTCAAATATTATACTTTTAGATTCCCCATCACTTTTTCAACTTTTGAAATAAAATGTATTGATAGACTTTCTATTTCAACTTTTCCTTTCTATTCTCTTCCAATGGATGGATTTTTTTTTTTTTTTATAAAAAAATTTACTCCAATTTCTCAAAGATTTCATTGTACTTTTCTTCTCAAATAATGTAATTAAATATAAATAATATTCAACAATATATATATATATATATATATAAACGATATGGTTCATTCAAGTTTATAATCAACAATAATGTAATGAAACCCTCACACCATTGTTATGATGCAAATCTACTATAAAAATAAAAATCGAATGATTTGTGCGTGAATTCTAATCTCATTCTCATAAATATTTTATTTTAATAAGTTATTCATTTTATATGTTAATTTTGAAATTTTTATAATCAGTTTTGACATTAATATCCATTGTTAAATTGATATATTTCTTTGGTGAAATTCATTATTTTATATATATGTTTATATTTTAATATATTATCTTTTATAATAATATTATGTGAAGAAGATATTCAAGGCAAAAATATAATATATATATATATATATATATAACATTCAGATTTTAGCTTTTGCATTTAACAAACAATCTTAATGAATACGGTGTCTAAAATTAATACAATATTAAACAAGTTAACAAATTAATATATTCAGCACTTAAACTTCAGTACTTGAAATGCTGAATTTTCAGTTTTATCAAGTAACACCTTAATCTAGTTATCAAACACCACAGTAAATGTCAACATCAAATAAATCACTTACATTGGGAAAAAATAAAAAGAATAAGTAGGAAAGTAAAAACATCAAGATACCTACATTTAAAGAACCTGAATCATCTCCTATGTCATTCCATAATATGGATCATGATTGTCAAAATCCCAATTTCGAGTAGTAGAATTGCACAATTTTACGATTCAAAATCCAAAATCGATCCAAATCTTAGCAAAATCGTTCATTTAGTAGAATCGTACAATTCCACACTATTCTACCGATTCTACAAAATTTGTTGTTTGAGCCTTTATTTTTGGGCTGGTTCCTTTATTTTTGGGTTGGTTTTTTCTAGCCTACAAAATAAAATAGGCTTGGCCCAAGTATAGTATACAAAATTAAATATTTATTCTATAAAATATAAATTATTTTTCATTAGTGGCAGAAAAATAAATATATATATATATGTGTGTGTATATATCAATTATTTTTACCATGTAGGTCGATGTTCCATAATATATTTTTGTGTTTAATTATAAAAAATTGAAATGATCAATTATATCTCAAGGATGCATACAAATGGCTAACAGGTTAGGATTGGCAGAAAGAGAAATATATATTACACACAAGCTCCTTTTCACTGCTGCTATTTACTTCCTCTGGCAAGAGAGGAATGCTCTAGCCCCTCCTCAGCACATTATTTCACAGCTCATTCCTCTAGCCCCTCCTCAGCACATTATTTCACAGCTCAAGTCAAGCACCAGGGCAAGACTTGCTACAATCAAGCTAAGAAAAGCTTCAGACTTGAGGATCATTTCAAAGGAGCATGATCTTCACAATCTCTTTGTTTAAGCCTGCAGCAGCTCAAGTGGAAATAACTGGTTATTGTCTTGAGTATTATATGCCTTTTCACATTGATCATACTCTCACATTGATCACACTCACAGATTGGTCTTGGTCATGATATCTCTTCTACTGGATCTTTACATGTTTCTTGTTGCTGTAATCAAAGCCTTGCTGATACTGGATTGCGTGTCTTCCTCATAATTTGCTAGGATTAATGATTTGAACACAGTCCTCTGGTAGTCATTTTGTTGTTTGGGTGGAATTAGGCTTCTGTTTCATAGCCTCTGCGAAGGCAGTTTGTTGATGTGGTTGTTTGCTTCTATCTTTTCCCCCTTTTGTTAGTCTCTAATTGTATTGTGTATCCCCAGTTTGGGGCCCAATGTACATTCTCTTTTATCATCTATACACAAACTTACCTTTAAAAAAATAAAAAATAAAATAAAATAAAATGTGCTACTATATATAAAAGCATAAATCTAGATCAATATGATTTTGATTCTGATTCAATTGATTTGACGCCTTCTCTACATAAAGAGTTTCATTGGTTTGAGCCTAATTTTCTAAACAACGTTAATATAATATTTTAGTTCGGATCAAATTGGATCGACATTATCAAACCTTATCCATTTTATATGGATATAATATTTTCAATAGATTGGATTCAAGCTTGTACGCATTTAACAATATACATTGAATATTAACTATGTGTCTATGTTTGACAATATACATAGAATTAGTGTCTTAAAATTATAACTGCAGAAAAATTAGGTTAATTTACTCGTTATTCGTATAAAATTTAAGTATTAGGAAATTTTATTCGGTATTAAAATTCACTATGTAAATTTTGCAGCTTCAATGTTCAAAAATTATCCACAAGGGCAGTGTAATTCAACTCAGTAATATGTGTGTGTCTCTCATATTTTTGCCCTCTCTTTTGCTTTATTGCTCAAATTGATGCGTGTATATATATAAGAAATCAATTCACCAACAAACAAATTGAACAAGTCAACCACAAAGTTATAAAATCATTAAAACAGAGAAGAGTTATTGTTCTATCGGAGTTAAATGGACTCTTTAAAATAGGTGTGCGACATTATTAGTTTGATACATTATACGGACACTTTTAGTTAGACATAAAAGATACGTGAAAGATACATACTACACGGATAAGGATATGAAATATGTGATACTTTTAATTATTATATGAAAGATGTTTTTCTGTGCATCCAACAAGGTCCGATAAATTAGACATAAAACACTAAATGAGTCTCACTTGAAACATATCTAAAAATAGCTAGTGTTTTGGGTCTAACATCATCACTAAGATGAGTTCAACAGAACTGTCCTCCTTTATATCCAATTCAGTGTGGCAATTCCCACCAACCATCACCAATTTACTCCCACTACTGCAGGCCAACAATGTTAATTGCCATGCCCAAACAAGGAAGACAAAGTTGTCTGGTTACCCTCACCTACTGGAACATTGTCAATTGCAAAGACAATGAAGCACTACAACAGCCACCTTCCTAACCTGCCTTGGACACACTTAGTTTGGTCCAAAAATTCAATACCTCAGCTCTCATTCACTCTGTGGGTAGCCATACAACAGAAGCTCCCAACCCTCAATAGAAGGTGCACAACTCACGTCAATGCCACACTATGCACCCTCTGTAACTCCCAATTGCAGAACCACAACCACCTGTTCTTCGAATGTGACTACACAGAACCCTTATGGACATTTCTCCAAGCAAGATGTGGGTTCCACATCAAACCATCCTCTTGGCCTTACCTTATCAACTGGGCATCACAACATTGGCGTAGCAATTCAGGATTCTACAACAGCTCAACCTCAAAACTCGCTCTGGCTGCACTTGTCTACAATATTTGGATGGAGCGAAATAGAAGGATCTTTCAGAGGAAGTATCTGTCCCAAAACTCTTTGCTTCATCAAACAATGGACATGATCAGGCTGAAATTCATATCCACAACACTCACTGATTCGCCAACTGTAAGGCGCATTATCGAGGAATGGGACCTGCCATCTTCAGTGATCCGTCCGCCGGCCAAACTACCTGACCGGAAATGAAGGGGAGTGTGGGAGAAGATCTTTCTCCATGTTCACTGCATTGTGTTTCAACCTGTAACGGTTCTCTTTGTTTCATTTTGGGCTGTCTTGGCGTTGGGCCTGTTTCTTTTGGGCTGTTTCATGCTTGGTTACACTGGGCTAACTTACAATGTACATATTTCTCATCAATAAATTTATCTTTACCTTTCAGAAAAACAAAAACATCACTAGGATGAGCCTCACCCCAATGGAATGGCAATCTGACCCCTTCCCATCTCTATGGACCTTTGGTGTACCCTTTTCATGTATAGCTTGGTCTGGGTTTGAACTACACATTCTTATGCAAGCTAAATTCATTAATTACCACCAAACTTTTATTTTTTATTTTTTATATATATATATAAATATTGTTGACGATAGTAGTATCAATCTCTTAAAACACCCCATAATTTACTACCGGACACATGTAGTCCCCCGTCCCACATGCACCGGGCAATTATGAAAAAATGCCTGGATGGCCCTCCCTGTAACTAGACCACCCAAAATATAAGACCATGCTCAAATATGCAAGAACCTGCCTGAAAAATCAGAGGATTCATTCTATTTCTCATCATACTATCAAATTTAAATCTCTAATAATCTCCCTTCAACAGAGGATCTCTCTCTTTCTCATCAACCATAATAATAGTAGTAAATTTTCTAGGATAAAGAAAATAACATAAGACCTAGCTGTTTCTCTCTCAATGAACTTTTGATTCCTTAATCTTGAGCATTTAACCCGAAAAGGGTTCAAGTTCAACTAACCAACCAAGGAAGCAAAGGAGGTGGTGCAAATCCGAAATTTATTGGTGGGTTTTGTTGGTCACGGTGTACCCGTTTCTTTTTCTCTTCTACCACTAGTTCAAAAGCTCAAAGGTTGGAGATGAAAATGGAGGTAATTGGTTGAGGCAAAAATAACACACGTGTAAAACAAACTTGAGAATGAGGTGAAAATGGTGGTAATTGGTTGAGGCAAAAATAACACACGTGTAAAACAAACTTGAGAATGTCATGAATAACGATAATGCACCAAAGTGACAAAATGCAAGTATCTTGAACTATTATCGAACGCCTATCCAACCTGGCCCCTCTTAACCCAAAAATGATAAATGTGATAAAATAAATATAAAAAATATACAAAAAAGGACCTGGTCCTCACAAACGTGAAAGAAATAAAATACAAAAATCAAGAGAAAGTTCCATTACACAATGCCAACACCATATATTACACCGTGGTCAACGTTGTTGGCTTTGTTCTTGTTAGAAATAAGAGGGCTAGATATGCACATAAGGATATTGCCTTCCACTTTGCAATTCATTTAACCCCCTTAGGAACAAATTCTGAGAGTACTTAAGTATTCATATTGGTCATAAAGGACAGAAGTAGGTCTTTGTTATGTACTATGCATGATTTAAATCAATACGTGTACCACATAAATGCAAATTATGCAATGTACTAACCAATCGAATGTATTCTTCTTCTGTTTAGAAAATAGGAAAAACTTCTCATTAATCCCAAAAACTCATTTCACTTTGACATGTTTTTGGTAAAATAAAAAAGGTATATTGATAAAAAATAAAAAATAATAAAATAATAAAATAATAAAAAAAAAAGATTAAAAACCATTACCAAAATAGAGCACCAGCAAATAGAACCCAAAAAGACACAGGAAAATAGCTTTTGCCTCACTGATTTTATCAGGAGCTGGACAATTCACCTTGATGTTGATAATTCTTCTCTCTTCGGAACCTTGATCCTGAGCACACCATGCTTGAACACCGCCGTGATATCTTCCACCTTGTAGCAGCCCTTAGGGATTTCGATGTTTCCATAATACTTCCTCGGTTGATACTTCCTCTCATGCTCCTTGTCCACCTCTTCCTCTCCATTCACGTGCAGAGAGTTTCCATCAACCCACACCTTCAGCCCTTTTAATCCGATCCCCGGCATGTCCAACCTCATATACACTGCTTTCTCATGCTTCATCACCTTATGGGGGATGCATGACCCTTCTTTCAGGAATTGGTTCACCATAGAACAAGCTGAACAACTCGACCACAAATTATAAAAGCATCAAAACAAATGGAAATATTAACTAATACTATGTTTGGTAGTATACATGGAATTGGTGAATCGAATTGAAATTGAAATTGAAAGAAAATCAGGGCTGTTGCTATTGCTCATATAGAATTTAAGTATTGAGTATTTTATTTACAATCAAAATTAATTCACCAAGTCAATTTTGCATCTTAAATGCTCCAAAATTATCCACAACTCTAATTCACCCCCCCCAAAGTGATGTGTATATAAACAAGCTAAACAACACAACCACAAATTACAAAAGCATCAAAACACACCGGGAAAATTAATCAATGGTATGTTTATTTATTTATGTTGGAATTAGAATTTGTGTATCTTAAATATCCCAGCAAATAAGCTAAACAACACAACCACAAATTACAAAAGCATCAAAACACACCGGGAAAATTAATCAATGGTATGTTTATTTATTTATGTTGGAATTAGAATTTGTGTATCTTAAATATCCTAAAATCATCCATAAGAGCTGGGGACGGACTTAAAATATAATGAGAGGGAGTCCTCTAACAATAACAAGATTAAAAAAAAAAAAAAAAATTATACCATTACAATAAACAAATGAACTTTTAACTTCATTGATAATTTCATTGAGTACATTTACTTTTCATACATTGAAAATGTTGTATAATATCTATTCAACTCATGAATTATTTTGATAAGAATATCAGTGTGCTATTCAACTCATAAATAGTATTCAAACAGAAAATTAATGATATCACACGTCAACATCAGTTAATTTTATTTTTTTAGCCTTTTACAATTTAACCCTTAAAATCCCAATTTATGTCGAAGTTAAATTAAGCTACTCAGAGCTAGTTGTATATCAATAAAATCACCCTAACACATCAAAAAAACGTAAACAGAAACAATTGAGTGATCTGTTTTATATTACCTTCGCCATTAGGATACTGTTTGGAGTGGAAATCGACCATGCGATCAAAGTTTGAATCAGAACCTAAAATATTGTAAGTGCTGAAGGACCGTGCGGAGGCAAACGGAGCGGCAATCCGCGGACGGAGGACGTTCATGAGGGTGTGTGCTCTGGTGAGAGCTCTTGATGATGATAAAAACGCCATTGTTGGAGCTTTTCAGCTTTTTTGGGGGGTTTGTGTGTGCGTGTATTTGTGTGTGTGAGAGAGAGACCGTATAGATTTGTTTCTTTTCTTCTTTTTTTGTCGGAATTTTGTTTCTTTTATTTTCCATCAAGTAAGTTAGTAATGATGCAATATTTGGTAAAAATATGGTGGTTCGTAATTTAATAATATTATTAGGTTAATAAAATAAATTAAGAATCATTGTGATAGTGAACTTTCGATATATAATCAAACTTCCTGATTTACGGTGGAATGTTTGGCTTCCTATTTAAGGGTGCAATGTTTGGCCTGTGTGTTTGTTGGATGTAATTTCCAAATATTTGAATTAATGTAATTTGCTATTTTGATTTTTTTTCTTTCCTAAAAAAGGTTAAAATTTTACTTATTTCTTAATATTTGTCAATATTACACATTTTACACATAAATAATTCTACATTTCATAATTTTATTTACTTTTGGACTTTTTTTATTTTTTATTTATTTATTTTTTTTATCATTTTGCCCATAAATTAGTTGCTCCCATTGCCGATATTAGAAAGGCAAAATGACGAAAAAAATCTGTTACATGAACCAAAATTTCAACATAGGTAAGTGAGATTCCTCGACCGCTTTAGTGCAACCATAGTTGACAGTGTTACCTCACTCTTAAATATTTAAGGTAGCACACCAAAGCTGTTAGGTGGTGACTTGGAAGACGAATTCCATTGGAACTTGGCTTGTGACTCGATTTGATTATATTTCTCTTCTTATTCGGAGAAGGATGATCAAATAATTTTCAATCATGGTCTTTGTAGATCGGATCATCATAATATAGAAAATGAAACTCTAAATATTTTATATATTTGTTCTAGGGTTGCAGGGTCACACTGTGATCACTGTAGTCGTGCTGCTTCACAACTGATTGAAAGGATAGCTATTTTAATAGAAAGATGGGAAATTGACATTGTGACATATCCGTCGAGGTGAAGTCGGGATATAAAATATGGAGGGGGTCTAGGTAGGATATAGACAAACCTCAATGAAAGTAAGTGAAGTTGACGTAAAAAAATTTAACCAAATAAAATTTTACTGCTATTGTTGGTATGCTATACAGGTCTATATTGAATTAAGTTAGGAAATTTTAATTTATTTATTTTACTTATATATTTTTTATTCACAACAAGTAAAAAAAAAAATTAGGAGACAAATTATCTACTTAGTTTATAACTTTGAAAACAGTTCTCAAATATTTAGAAAATAGAAAATTATTTTTAGATAACTATAGAAGACTTTTCCCTTAAAAATATCCCTTTTTATAATTGAGTTTTAGAAAAGAGTTTTCAGAAAACTGAACCAAGTATAGTTTTTGTATACATTTTTTTTTTATTTTTTTAAAAGAGATAAGCTTGTATATATAAGAAAATTAATGTACAATGAGATCCCCAGATAAATGAGGATAAAACAAGGAGTACAGCTAACAGGCTACAAACATAATCCAACTATAACAACCAAATGGTTGGAACATAAAATTCTAGCAAAAACTGTCCCAGAAGTTAATCAACAGTGGAACAAGAGTAAGTCATCATTCGGCCTCCCTCAGCAGAAGCAAGTGAGACCACAGCGATGATAACCCCATCAATATAGTTGTTCATGAAAGAAGCCAGTTGTGTCCGCAGGATAATGATGTGATCCTTCTGAGGTCTGAACAGTTCTAAGCTTGATGGTAGCAAGTAGAGCTGCAACTCGGACAGGCCCAATCCGAATTTACCCGAGCCCAGCCCGCATTTTTATGGGCTTGGACAGTAATT